ACCCTGTATTTTTTGGGCCCCTTTAAACCTCCTTGCTGCCCAGTTCAGTGGCCCAGCAGAGATGTCACAGGGTGCCATCTTGGAGAACAATTTGCATGCTTCTAGATTTATCACCCTGACTTCCAGCAGAGGTTGCCCAAGACCTGTTGATAATACTGGCCATAAAAGAGAACAAGTGCAAAACATAGTTGCCAAAGGCACTGGGACTTTTTCACCCTGATGGGAAAGGTCTTAAGACTCAAATGCCCCTCCTGATACCATGAAGAGTTTAAATGTTTAAATCATTCCATCCCAGCCTTCATTGGGTACATTATCCAATACAGAAAGTAGGGATATATGAGAGTTTGACCCTAATGAAGAGGAGTTTAAAAGTTGTACATGTGTGTTTGTGTACCTATTTGTGCATACACACACACACACATATATAAAAAGAAAAGTTGTATTACTAGAACAGAATAGGAAAACTGTAGTAGTTTGGGCAAACATACTAACTCTTTGAGTGTTTGGAACATGAATCTGCCACTGGCTCTCAGGTTGCCTCTGAAGAGCAGTGGTAGAGCAATAACAACGGGATATAAAGAAGTGATATCTCCTTTTGATTACCATTTCCAGAATAAGCACACATGGATTTCCATCTTTCCCTTTAAATAGTGCCACAGTTTAGAGTGCAGTAACTCCACCTAAGAAAGACTATGCAAATCAAACAAACAGCATGTAACACTTCTCCAAGAAGATGTAAATCTGACATGTTCTCCAAATGGAGAATGCCAGGAACACAAAAAAAAAAAAATAAAAAAACCCAAGTCAAACCAACCAACCAAGCAAAATAATTTCCCTTTTTAACTCACACTTCTTTTAGATGCTTTCCAGGTGTGGGAGAAATAATGGCATGCATTCTGAAATACAGCTTATTTCAGTCTATAACCATATCACAGATAAATATGTGTATTTATATACACACAATACAAGAAACCATTTTTACTATAGTCTAAGTTTCCAATGCCAGAAAGTCTCCTAACATAAAAGATACCCAAATCACAATATGCCCCAACCTACAAGAACTTCTTGCAGTTTGCTCCCCACACCAGGTGGCACTAGACAGCTTTAGAGAAAGCCCTTCAAGGCCAGCGTTCCCAAGCAGATCTGGGATTCATCTTTTCCCCAGTCTTTCAGAGTATTTCTAGGTACTTTATAATACTCTTGCATCTTCTCTGTTCTTCCTCCTAAAGGAATTTAAGAAGCTTCTAAGTGTTACATGTAACAGACACCAAAGAAGTTATGTATATGTACTAAATACGGTAGGGACAAAGCAAAAGTTGATGGGTTTTCATTTACTATTAGGAACTTAAAAAAGCATTCCTAAATGAACTCTAAATTTCCCCTCAAGAGCTTGTGGGCAGAATTTTTTGAGGCACTTTAATTAAAAGTTACCTGTTTTTTCCCAAAGCATACTCTGCAGTGCAAATTTTATAGCACTGTTGCAGAAAAATTTTCAGCTTTGAGTAAAATCATTCAGAAGCTATAAATAATACTATATATAGCTGAAATTCCAGTCTTCAAAATATGGGGCACTGTACCCTCTTGCTATTAGCCTGCAGTAATATTCGTACAATAAAGACACTTACCTTTGGGTTTTCTTTCACTGCTGTCAAGGTTCAAAAACTTCCTTTCTCTCTCTCTCTCTGAGTCTTCATTTCTCAGGCGGGTTAAAATCTCCTCCAGTGTTTTGACAATATCAGTAAATGAAGGACGCAACTTTGGATCCATCTGTGAACGCACACAAATCCAGTAAATTCCTGTGGGTTTGTCCATGCTCCTCTAGTTACATAGTGGACAGAGGGATGTTGCAAAAAACCTAAGTAAAGCGGGGTAAGAGTAGTATTCTGTCTTAGTTTATGTCCTGCTGTACCTCTTACATTTAATTACCAAGTTGTAAACATCCTATGAAGAGGCCTCATTTTAAGTTCAAAAGGTGGGAAGCTGTTAGATTGAGGACTTGCAAGAAGAGTTTGTTCATTTGTTTGTTTGCTTGTTTGTTACAGCTTTCATAGTTCAAAGATTTCTTTTGGGACTCTAGTTATCAGTCAGACATTACATACCAATGTTATTCCAAAAGGTCCCTGAAGCAACAAGGATTAAACAGAACAACCTGGCTATGTCATTCTTGAAAAGTTTGTAATTCTTCATCACCTTGTGGCTTTAATTAAATCCCATCTAAATGGCATTGCTGATTTTAAAATTTAATATGTTGTATCTTTCCATCTGTTAATTAGCCTTACTACTCAGTGTACTGGTCTGTCTTGTGAGGAAGCCAGACTGGTTATGTAATTTGTCAAAGTAATACAATAGAAAAAAAATCCATACTTGCCCAAGTAAAATACCTTCCCCTGTGCTCCCCTGGCCCCATCCTCAGCATGTATTCAGTTCATATGTATCAGTGTGTTGGTTTGTATGCATCAGTATGTGTGTGTTTATTCACCCTAGTAGAAATGGATCTCTAAACAAAGTCCATCACTAAAATTGTAGCAGGGGGCAAGCAGCTTAATTTAATTAGTAAATTAGAAGGCATTTCATAATTTTGAACATTGACCCTGCATATATGTTACAGGTTTAACTACTGTAGGTAGCAATGTTTAATTCAGCAGCTGAAAGTTAGCTTCATTACAGTGTTTAAAAAGATTCTGCTTGACCTGATTCCTGTTTCCAGCCCTCTAAAGGCTTTTTCAGAACGGACAAGCCCAGACAGATTGCACCTCTAGTTCAAAGGGAACAACGGTGCTTTGTGTACAACAAACCCCAGAGGCCTCCCTGATATTGCCCTGCAGGTCCTACAGGATGGATTCTTCTGAAGAGAAGCAGTACCATCAGCAATGACACAACACCTTCTAGCAACACAGGGCAAAGGGCTAAAAATTCCTGTGTATAATAAAAACTAAACAAATCACACTTGAAGAGCTCAAGAGCAGCAAGAAAGTCATTCTAATGCAGCAGCTGGAATTTCCTGGTGTAGGAAAACATCTTTTTCTGCTTTCCCTGTTTCACGGAAAGAGTAGGGCAGGGGCAACACCAAAGCACACACGCTGCACTCTGACAAACTAATTTGAGATCCTTGGGGATATGTTGCAACCTACAGGAAGCAAAAAGAGCTCTCTGACTGTTTTAATTTGTGCTAGGTAAGATCCAAGACAAAAGCAGCAATGGAAAAGTGACTTAGAGCAACATCTGCCTCCTCCATCCCCGAGCAATGCAGATTCTGCTCAAATGGAATAGAAGGTTCTTCCTCAAGGCACCATTTCCCCCAGCTCAGCGCATGCTGGTAAGATTCTTGTGTGATCCCACATGATTACTGTTGTAAGTGTTTGCACAAATAGGCTTACAATTGCTGGGCAGCCTTAAGTTTTAGGCTTTTTTGCATTTACTTGTTTTAAAAAAACACTTTATAACAACAAATTTTAACAGTTTTAATCACTACTCATACATGTCAGTTTTTACTGGGTTTCTTAGGTTGCCCTAAAACATGTTTTCCTGGCTGTGGAAAACCCCATGGCTTTGCACATTAGTTCAGCTAATCAGCCGAGCTATACAGTTTACACTGGCTGTTGACCTATTAAAGAATAAACAGTTATATAAACATCCATGTCTAAGGGCCAGTTATCGCATAGATCACCTATTACTGAAGCACAGCATGCTTAGGAAGATATAAGAAAGCCTTATCTATCCATCATCTTTTCCTTCTGCTAGGTAAGTGGTAAGTGAATTATACCATGCCCTACACTGAAATCGGCATATTAATGGCTTGATCACAAGACATTAAGTTTTACTTTCAATTCAGGGAAGGAACGTTTCTGAATTTTACCTGTGCTGAAAAATTGCATTGAATCATGCACCGTATGTTTGGATGCAGTATGACTTCTGGAGTCTAAAGGTGGGAGCTGAGATTTCCAAAATCAAATCCTACCTCTATCCAAGCCCTTTAGTGCTTATGTAGTCAAAACACTTCATAAACATGAGTCAGATGTACCACTGTTGCAGCGAAGCAAGCTCTGCTGTACTAAGGTGAAATCAGAGCAGTGAAGTAGCTTGTCCAGAGTAAGTTCCACAAAGACACTTAGTATTAAATGACACTACTTTGTGTCAAGACCAGCAGCCACTCCCACGTCCTCGCAACCTTTATACCACTCTCCCCTTGAGCATGTCCATTTGTACTAATACAAAGTCAAGAGAAAGCCTGGGGCAAAAATAAGCATGGAGACAGGAGACTTTTCTTATGAACACTCACCTGGACACAGTGCTGGTGTTGCCTCCAGCATGGCCTGACTGTGCAGTTCCAGGCAATGTTTTGTGCAATGAAATCTTTAGAAGCTGACACCTCAGTTTAAGGTGTACAAACTGGACATTCCCAGCTTCAGCTGAATCTGGTGCAAGTTTAGATTCTCTTACTTCATATAAACCAGATTACTGTACAAAGATACTTAGCAATCTCTGTTATGATAGAATCATAGAATGTCTGGGCTGGAAGAGACCTCCAAAGGTCATCTAGTACAACCCCCCTGCAATAAGCAGGGACATCTCAAACTAGATCAAGCTACTCAAAGTTTCATCTAGTCTGATCTTGAATATCCCGAGGGATGGGGCCTCCACCACCTGTCTGGGCAACCCACAAAAGAAATCTACTTCCTTGGAATTTTCACACTGAGGAGACATGAAGGTATCCAGCAATAACTATAATTATTTTACTTGAATAACTGGCAGAAAATTTACTCCATAGACATTGCCTGTAGCCTTACTGATCTGGAAGGTTTATCCCACTTTCCAGAAGGCAGCATACAGAAACAATAAGAATAGTTTAGTGCCTCCTCTTGATTTGTTTGTCCCCTCTGTGAGAACAACTCAGGATTTCTTTCTTCACAGCTCAATAGGTCTGTACACAGTAACAGATGGATTTTGTCAGCCCAAGGGCCAGCCTGTGTCAATAGCATACAACTGGTTATGATCAGCCAGAACAGCCTGCAAGAAGCTGTTTAGTGGGCCAGACCTGTTTGTTTGGCATAACAGAACACAATTGCAAAACCATAAGATAGACCTTTTTGCAAGGGGAAGGGAAGGGTTATAAAAACTGCAAGGGACTCGCAGGTTATCAGGATGTACACGACTTTTTTAGGTAGGCTCTTCAAGTCTCTTCTGTGAATGCTTTAAGCTCTATCTTCAAAAGCCAAAGGGATTTACAAAACTCCAGTTTAGGCCTCTCCCCTTCAAGCAAGATACTCACGTTACAGCAGTTGAAGGCCAGCTGGAGGAAATCAGGGGGACAGTCTCCCACCATGTGCTGGAAGGCATCATAATCTAATCCAAAATTCTGTACAAACAAAACCACAGCATAGATATATAAATGAGGTTTGTTATCTGGCCCAAAGCATCTTCTTTTCATGGGGTCCCTACATGGAGTTACCAGGAACAACCATGAACAACATCTTTCAGCAGCCACATACAGAGGATTTTGAGAAAATTTCATGCTCACTCCGAACTGCAGCACTCCCAATTGGGGATTATTTGATACAAGATACCTGTAAGAGAATGAGCTGACTTCAAAGCTCATTCCTCTTCCGGGACCCAACTGCAATCCATTGCACTTGTAATGTTGCCTGTGTGGATCTGGAAGCAATATGTCACCATGGTGACTTTCACAATGTAAATTAACAGCCTGCTATAAAAGCAGAGGCTTTGCTATGATGAAAATTTATCAGTTAAAATGGTTAATTTTTCAGTGGGTGGTAGACTGCTAAGGCAAATGATCCAGTTCCTTAAACGCACTTCTATAAAATCTGAAGGGCAGAAAAACAACAGCTTCTCACTGCAGTTCGAGACCTAAGCAATTTTGCATTTTCAGAACTGGAGGGGGATAGACAATTTGAAAGACTTTCCCCACAGAGGGCCAAAAGTTGCCTTGTAGGTGAGACTCAACCAAAAGGCAACTGAAGAAAGTATGAAGCATCTTATTTGATTCTGGCTCAGATCTGCAGTGCTTGACACAGTCTATGCAAAAACACAGGTGAGCTTATTTTAGCTGCTGCTAACAAAACTCCTGCCCCTTTCACAAGGAGAGGCTGCTTAGTGGATGCAGTATGCCAAAAGCTCTCTGTTCCAAATCTGGCAAGAAGTCGCCATGAGCTATCACTCTAAAAAAGGAAGGTCACTGCAATACTCTCAGTGTTGTGCCAGTTAGGGGCAGAAGGGATTTCCCATGAGGCCTGCAGCTGGACACAGTATCTGTGAGAGTGTCTTCAATGGAGCTCCTTACAGTAACAGCACAGACGAACAAAAGCCTTTTACAGGCTATTTTTAATGTAACAGTTATTCATCGTATCTTTGGCAGCAGTGCCCCAAGTTCTAAAGGCCAGGCACTATCATGGCAAAGGGAACCACCTCCCAGCAGCGTTACAAACGTCACCACTCACCTCTGTGCGAGGGAGATAGTCGGGGTCTGCCTGTATCCTCGCTATAATCTCACACAGAATTATGCCATAGGAGAACACATCTGCCTGAGAGAGGAAAAAAAATAAGTAGCCACATGACTTAGCTATGAATAGTCGATGTTCTTATATGCAACCAAGTTTCTCCCTATCCCAAATGGTTATCATGAATAAACTAAAGCAACACCACAGCGTTACAACACCAAGCAACGCAACATAGCTAATGTTTTCCACGTAAACAAACACATGCCCAGGTAGAACATTCTTGTTGCACAAATAGCAATAATAACTTTAAAACTTTCAAGAAAAAAAAAAAAGTCATTCCTTGCATAAGGAATGGTGAAGTTGCATTTAATCTCTTACAGATGGGAGCAATTAAAAACATAGCCAAAACATGACATGCCTATATATCACTGTGGTTAGAAAGACAGGTTTAGAATACACATGATCACAGCTTATCCAGAACATTAACACTCTCTTTAAGAAAAATTACATTTTTTCCTCTTCTCACAGTTCAGTACCTCTGGAGAATAAAATGCCTTTCACAAAGCTCAGGTATCTAGTAACACTGTACAGCAGCATCAATTTCCATTGAAATTTTCATGATGCTTAGTAATCACCTATCTGACTATCCCTGGAGCTGCACAATTCCTCAAATTTGCACCCACCTGAATTTATCATATAGTAAAATTTAGGAGAACATGGAATACAAGTCTACAGAGCAGAAGTGGGCATTCCTTATCCCTTACATATATACAGGCTTCTATGTCACCTTTCATGCTGATGAGGTATGAGGCCTGCTGCTTCTTTAGTCCTCCATGCCCTAAGGTTAGTGAAGAATGTGGCACCATAGATTTGGGTACTTTATTATTAATTTAGGTCAATTTGGATTCTTTAAAAAGCTTTGAAATGGTAATTATTACATTAATTACTGAAGTAGTTACTGCTTTCCTGCAAGTTATAAGTACCACCAATTAAAGAGACTATTGACTACTAGCTATAAAAAGGCAGAGGACGTAGGCTTTATCACAGAAAAGCTGCACTTGTGGGGCTGGAGTGGAGTACCTTATACATGGGAGAGAGCTTGACTGAAAATACTGCTTCTAAAAATCCAGTGTGATCTGATCCTCTTCTGAAAGAAACATTTCCCAATGCCACAAACAGGAAAAATTTAGAAGGATCTTTGGAGGGCATTTTGCCCATGTATCTTACCATAAGAAATGTTGACTTTATTTTTTTAAATTAAGATAATCGTACACGTTCACATACAGAACTTCTACTTCTACCCAGATTTCAGTAACATACGGTCAACTTAAGGTAAGCAACCTCACTACCTTTCTCACAAGAGCTGGTTAAATTATGTTAAGTCAACAAGCCATTACCATATTCCTGCATGTGGGATGTTTCAGAATGGAAATGGTGTAACAGTGAATTATGCTAAAGGTAATTCTATATATGTAGAAGAATCCACACCATGAATTAAAAATATTAGCTTTGCAATTCACACTTTCGCTTAGTCTCAATGACCTAATGAATACAGAAATGTCACAAATGAAAATAATTTTAATATCATGGAAATTGTAAGTCTAAAGTCCAGTTATATCATGTACCTACCTTTTCATTGTAAGGTTCATCTCTCAGAACTTCTGGTGCCATCCAGAAGGGGGAACCCACCACTGGTAACTTCTCACTATATAGATATGGGATAGATGGGGGAAATATGGGAGGGGGGGTCAGGAGGACAGAGAGAAGAATTAAATTAATTAAATACTTGGAATTATGGAAAGGTAGTAACAATGTCTGAGCATCTGCAGAAACTTTCACCAGAGAGAAGCTGATACAAGTGGGTTCCATAGCATACTGTATTTTACACTGGTTTCCTACTAGAGTCACAGAAACATTCAACGGCAGGAGGAGAGGGTGAAAGAAAAATAAGGCTTCAATCAATTACTCATATTTTATTTCCAGTTTCCAAGTGCCAAAAAGGAAGGAATTGGCTCCTTCATCTACCCATAGAAAAGGTTTGTGGACATCAGTTTCAGGTGCGACGTCAAATTTTCCATTCATACAGGAAGACATCCAGGTACCCATTCCTGTATGAGCATTGATAAACAGCTCTGAAAGTATTCAGCACAGCTTGCTTGCAAACTGTATTTAGAAAAACAAACAAACAATAAAAAAAAAAGGCAAAACAAAAAAACATGCCAACCAAGCCAAAAGACAACGAACAGTCAAGACTGACCAGACAAATCCTTTAACAGGGAAAAATTAGAAATAACAAGAATAGAGCAAAATCTGCCATATTTCCATACAGCTGAATACTGGACCTTAAGAAATGCCTCCAGCTTGCCACCCAGCTGACCTTGAAGGAATGCCTATTAAAATAAAATGCCTCTGAAGGCCTCACAATAGCATGGCTTGCTAACCAGCAAACTGGAAACAACAAAACTGCATCTGCAAACAGAGGCAAGACTAGATCAAACCAGAATAGTGGCTAATATAACAGTTTTATTATGTTGTTTGTTTTAGTATCTAGTTACCTTAACTTTAGCTATTACTGTACTCTCAGTTTTCAGGGCATCTCAAAACTGGGTAATAAGGACACCTTAAGGCACCTGTGGTGCCTTCCTGATTTTGTGATGGGTTTGTATGAACACACCTGGAGCTTTCAGCACCTTAAAGTGCAGGGATTCCACAGGAATGTAGAATGTAGTAACACACTGGCTGCACTTATCAGTAGTATGGAAATTAAGATGTTCACTTTAAGCTTTTAGATCAATATTTCATCAACATTAATGCAAACCTTCAAATCTCCCAAGATAGGGTTTTAGGATATGTGCAGTTTAAAAACAGTATACGGCTGAGATCAACTTTTATTGTTTTCTTTGCAGTCAGATGAGCTGGAAGGCTTTTATTTATTTTATGCAAAAGCATACACACTGGAGAAAATCTGACAGCATATTTCAGTCAGAATACTCTGAAATACACAATCAATATTCAGAGAGAACAATGAAATCCTTGTCCTTGATCTCCCTAACAGAGGGATGACAGAAGGACTATTTCCAATTGTGACAACAGCTTGTGACAGTCACCTGTGCCTCCCACAAATGGGTAAAGATTATAATTTCATCCTAGAGAGAACAAAACGGTGAGCTACTGTTAGACAGTCATTTTAATGTCTTTGTTACAAACCTGGATCTTAACAACTAACCTAGAGGTTAAAGAGAATAATGCTGAAATGCCACTGACTACTGTTTAGGAAAATGGAAAGAAGTTAAGCAAAGCTGTTCGGAATCAACAGAGGACATTAATTACAAAATAGCCCTGATCCAGAATGATGGACAGTATTTTTGTGCTTGCTTTGTTGTTTGGCAGTTTGGGTTGGTTTTGGGTCTGTTGTGTGGCATTTTTTGTTTGTTTGGTTTTTACCCAAATTTCCCAAGTACCTCCTTAGAAGATCTGCTGATCCTCTAGTCATTGGAGCACTTTTGAATAAATGTCACTACTAAGTCTATCAAAATGGACATTAATTGAGCCTGGAATATTTTCATCATCCAGCTTGAAGACTGAAGATATGTTTTGCAAATTTTTTTTGTATCAGAATGCAGTAATGGCCTCAGCGATCCGGCTCATTAGAGCTTCCAACCTGCACTTGCGCTGCAACTCTTGCTGTATTCGCTGTGATTAGTTCACATACCTGTGATCAGGAATTTTCTCTGCTAAACCAAAGTCTCCCACTATTGCCGAGTATCCATTCTCATCATGTTTTATCAAGCAGTTCTGGAAAACAAAACAAAACAAAAAAACCCAGAAGAATTAGTGTCCAGGAATGAAACCCATATATCATTTTTTAAATTTCTTTTTAATCTAGAACAAAGCTACAAGATGTTGTTTGGAAGACATTCACCTATGAGAAGCTTTTGTCTGAAAGCAGCCACCCTTTCCTCCTACCCTCCCCCCCCCATGCACAATCATATGTCCATCAAACTTAAGATGCTGCAAACAGCCTTGCACTTGGTTAATAATCCACTTAAAAACTTGCTGAGAAAGCAGGCAGCCACAGGCAGCACATATCCAGCTAGGTTCTCACAAGAATTAAGATGATTTAGCTCTTTTACTGCTCAGGTATTCAGTATGGCCTGTTCACTATGACACCTTACATTTTCTCTTTACAATTTGCATGCACCTGACCAGAATATAAAAATCAGAGCAGACTCTGAATACCTTTGTGTATTTTGCTATATTAACTACAGAAAAGGAACCCAAAGCTTTGCAGCAGATTTTCATCAGGGAGCAAAAGATGTGACAATGTTTTATGCGCTTTTAAAGTCTCTGGTAAAATTCTTTAGTCTACAGTACATCACAAAATGTGATTTCAGTGAAAAGGCTAATAGGGAAAAGCTGTCAATCTTTTCCTTTCAGATATGCCCTCCAGTGTCAGGAGGGAGGGCAACTTAAGGACACACACAGATCATTCTGGTCTGGCAGCAACACATCAAACATTGATTTATTATTGTTATTTATTTACAACTCTGAGAAATATCCTTTGGCTGTTTCAGTACCGCACCTTCTCCTTTCTCACCAAACCAATCGATAGCCGACTTCCCCACGTGTTTTTCTGTTCTGCAATAGGTGGAGCAAGACAGAGAACTCATTCCCTTACCACACGCCTTGCTCCATCCCCTTCTGCAGGCAGTACAATAGCAGTGACAGGCAGCAAAACCACTGCCGACTCCGACAGCGTGGTACCCTGCCTTAATTAGCCAAACAGCAGGAAACACTTTCCAGCTTTATTGTGCTTGGATGTAGAAAAGCCCCTTGCTGACCCCAGAGCATTAGCTTGTCTGTATAAAGCAGCTACCAAGAAAAGTGAGTCCCTTGTCTGAAAGATCAAGTTCAGGTCATCACTGTTTACATTACTCAGAAACAATTGTGGCTCGGGCCATGAAGCAAGTTTTCTTCCTGCCAATAAAAGGTTAAGCAAGCTGCTCCTGCCTGCGTGGACAGAAAATGCATGCCAGCCTCTTCAAGCACATGCTGGGCTCCTGAAATGCAAAGTTTGATTTGTTTAGCATGACTCAAGTATAAGAAGCACAGTTAGTTTGGGGATTCATAACCATGTACCTAGTTAAATCAACTACGCTTGCCCAAAGAGCAGCAAAGCTTCTCAGCTACGGGCTTTGTTATCTTTTATCAAAGGGCACATTCATCCAGCTTGCCTCTGTTTAAACATTTGGTCACTGTAAGTGGACTTAAATCTGAGAAGGATAAAACTTTTCTGAAAGTCTTACTCAAATGATTCAGACAAGTGGAATGTCATTGTGTACCACACAGAAACACGTCCACGAGGATGCCAGGGACTTTGCAGTGTACAAGAATGCTGATACCATTTTATGCAGCAAAATACAAAGTTACTTTCTGCCATAGATTTTGCAGCAACTAAAGATTATTCTTTAAAATAAAAGATTATTTGTTTTGTTAAAACAAACAAAAAAACCCCAAACAACAACAACCCAAAACCACAAAAAAGCTCTATGATTCATAAATAACTAGTTTTAAAATCCAGATTTCCTTCTTGCATTACCTTTGGCTATTTCAATTCTGTTCATTTTGAGTAGCAAGATTGCAGTAGTTAATTCTGCCTTCTGGTTTTTGTGGATTAGAGTTATTCTCCAATAACCCTTGGCCTCCAAAGTTTCAGGAGAACATTTAATCCAGACCAAGAGCTATTTCAAACAGAACTAAAAATCTGTAGAAACATTTCTACTGACCTTAAGATTGGCAATAATTTACAGGGCTGCCTTGACACCAAAAGGAGGCTTAAACACAACATCATCCTGGCAGCAAATTTTCCTTCAGCTTCTTACCAGTGTACAATCACATCCCATGACACAGCAACACATCACCACATGAAGATGAACAATCTTAGCCCATACCAAGCCCTAGGCAATCTCAGCTCTTGGGTATAGCACTGAACGATTAAACAAGTAGATTATTTCTAGATAAATCATAAATTAAACTAATAGTGCATCCAAGTAATGATACCTGACAGCTCTGAGCTCCTTCCCAGATGAGCAGGAGCTGCCTGCAGCAAAGCTAGGCTCCCTTTCAGTGTAGGTCTCTCAAGAAACCAAACTGAGCAGATGCCCCACCACTGTGGGGTCCAGAGGTCCTGCAGGAGAGGCCAGTACATCATGACAAGGCAACAGGGGAAAGCCTAGGGTAACATTTCTGCTATAAAGGACTGATCAATTGTTCTGCTGTGGTGGGCTGCACAATGTTAAATGACATAAAGAAGGAAGCTAAACTATTCTCTCTCTTTTGTCTGCATGTGAAGAAATGCTGAGTGTGAATTTAAATTCATTAGGGTCCCCATTCCAGTACAAGAGTGACTTTTTTATTCACACTTAAATCACCCATGGGCAGGTGACATGCACCAGACAAAAAAATCACCAGTGTCACTACAAATGCTCACTGTAGTGAAAGTAAACTGATTTAATTCAACTGGTGCAAATGTTTGTGTAGCAAAGCACCAATTTCCTGGAACCCAGACTGGCTGGAAGCCTATTCCCACTCAAACCAGCACTAAAACCCTTCTGTGGATACTAGCGTGGTCAGATGTCACCTTTCAAGCCTGCACTGTTCATTCAGGACAGAGCTTTGCAGACGGCAATGCTTCAGTCTGTGCTAAGCTCCTCCAAGTGTTCAAGGCCAACCCTCAGCATCAACATACTCCTTCTCCACCCTCACTAAGCCATTACACAACACTGCACAAAATCCACAGCACAGAGAATTTAGATATTAGATTTAAGATACAATTAATGAAAAAGTGACTTACACAGCCCACAGTTTCATTAGTGGATTTTGGTGCAGAGACACAAGATTTCAAACTCTTCTTCCATGCAAAGAGCCTCTCAAGAGCTGCCTATGAGATGAGATGCCAAGCACTTTTGCAAGACAGGCTTTAAGAAAACACTTTTGACTTACTATAGTACTATTTGTATAAGCTGCACGGCAATAAAACCCAACAACTTTCTCAAACTTTCTCTTTGGACGTCTACAGACAAGGATGGTCTTTCCTTTGGCAGCTCACACGGTCAAAGAGGGCAGTATCTGACTTCAGTTGGGTTCTCGTGAGGGTTTTTTTCCCCGAAACAGGGACTCCCTCAGTCTTTCCTGAGGCAGTCACTTAATAGAAGGAAGGAGCTCTGTACAGGAGCCCTAAAGAGTTAACAGAGCTGTGTATGCAGAGACAGATGTGAAAGAACATAAAGACCCCTTTGTGTGTTACAGGAGCTTAACATCTGCTTTGCACAGCATAATCCTACTAAGACAAATGCAATATTCTACTCTCCCTTTTTACATAAACAAAAGTGAAAATAGACTCAAACATTTCAGAGTTAAAAATACATTGCCATAGATGATGAAACCCCATTGTGTTAATTTACAGTATGACATACAGGCTAAACTCCTCAGAGATCTTACTGCACTTCAGAAAATACAGAAATGTTGCTGCAGTGTCATTTGCAACCTTCTGATGACTGCTACCAAATTAGAATACCTAAAGGCCAATTGAGATGTATCAGCTATTTTTAAAGTGCTATCCCCTAGGAGAAACACCACTGACAATGAAATGTACAACAGGAAGCTTGCAAAACTAGATACACTTTTGAATAAAACCATTATGTTTAATAACAGACCCTGTTTGCATCCCAAATCACTAGTAAAAGTTTAGTATTGCAACTATCATTAGAAATAATAAACTGTAACAGCTAATTTTTCCAGTGTGAGCCCTCCCCTGCAGTGGAAAACATCCAGGGGAGAGCCTATGCCAGCACAAAGGGGACTTTACAACCAGAGCAGTGAGTATGAGATTCATCAGACAAAGGTTCTGTTCATCGCTTGGGGTTTATTTTGTTTTATTTTGTGTTAAACAAGCAAGCAGCATACAACTTATGAAGTCAAGGTATGTCACTTTCAAGCCCAAAGGCAGTGAATTTATGTTACATCAGATAATCCACAGTAATTGGTTACATGAGTGATTCTCTCCTGTAGCAAGCAAGACTACTCTCTCAATGAAAGAGGGGTGAGCCATGACACATTTACTGTGAAGTGAAAGCAGATGTTGGCAGGAATACACACACACATTCATGTATGTGTTTGTGTGTATAGATATGCCTAGATAGTGGAATTTCGTCATAGGTTTTATCATCAATGGAGCTCACAATGTTCTGTAAAACTGCTCACAACCTACTATTGATTGCAAGACCTTGTTTTCAATTGCACACAATTCTGCAAAAAAAAAAAAAAAAGGTGTTCATATGGGGGTTTGCTGGTTTGTTTTTAACCAAGAGCTTTGGTAGTGGGTTTTTGGGGAGGGGTTGTTCAGCAAAGATAGCTCAGCTGCTTGAGAAAACAAACTTTAGAATATGTATTGCAAGCAAAAATGACTATTAAAAAAAAATCCTCAAAAAATTAGCCTATAGTGCCATACCAGATTTGGCATGTTCTCAACTTGAAACGTGACATGACCTCTCTGTAAGATGCACTTTTGGCACCCCTGCAAAAAGTAGACTGGGACTGGAGGACTTTGAGAGTGAATACGATGACAAGACAGAGCAGGACTCCAGGCTAGGGGCTGGCAGGGACCAAGAGCAGGATCTTGAGCTAGGTTCCAAGACAGGGAAAAAAAAACCTGAAGACTATTTTACGAGGATTAAAGAACTGCATGCACAGCAAACAGGTGGTAGTGGTCAAACAGGGCTAATGTGGAGCAGTAG